TCATCATCTTCTTCTCTCTCTGTTTCTCAAAGGTTTCAAGGTTTAATGGATGTGTCGGCGAAATCGAATCTCATCAAAAGTTTAAAACGGGTCGGGTCAATGAAAAACATACCGGAAAACCCGGTTCCGTACCAAGAGATAACCAAATCGGTTTCTTCCGGTGACGATAACTCGGAGGAACTCAACGAGACCACTCTCTCAACAGTCAGATCTAGGGTTCCGAGAGTACCAAAACCACCGCCGAAACGGTGTTTTTCATCGGAAAACAGAGTAGATCCGGTACCGGAGAGATCGAATCCACCACCTCCTCCGCCTCCGCCACCACCACCGCTTCTTCAACCACCGTCAGTTTTAAAAGCTCCTCCTCCGCCACCTCCGCCACCTCCGCCGATGAAAAGCTTGAGCATTGCGTCGGCGAAAGTGAGAAGAGTACCGGAAGTTGTCGAGTTTTACCATTCTTTGATGCGAAGAGATTCGACGAACTCGAGAAGAGATTCCACCGGCGGTGGTAACTCCGCCGCAGAAGCAATCCTCGCGAGCTCCAATGCTAGAGACATGATCGGAGAAATCGAAAACCGATCGGTTTATCTCCTCGCGGTATATATTCTCTTAAACCGGTTCATTAATTTCGGTTTATTTTTGCGTCAGCGAGAGAATTGACCGGTCATTCCACCTTTTCCTTGTCCTTTTTTGGGTTTAACTAACCGGATTTTGTGGTTAAACGTAAACCGAACATTGCAGATAAAAACCGACGTAGAAACGCAAGGAGATTTTATAAGGTTCTTGATCAAAGAAGTCGAAAACGCTGCGTTTTCAGATATCGAAGACGTTGTGCCTTTCGTGAAATGGCTCGACGACGAACTCTCTTACTTGGTATGATGATGATCATAAAACCAAATTTGTTCGAAAATGTTGAATCTTGATTTTTGTGTAATTTGGTGTTTTTGTTTTTGAAGGTTGATGAAAGAGCAGTGTTGAAACATTTCGAATGGCCAGAGCAAAAAGCAGACGCGTTACGTGAAGCAGCGTTTTGTTATTTCGATTTGAAGAAACTCATATCGGAAGCTTCACGTTTTCGTGAAGATCCTCGTCAATCTTCTGGCTCTTCTCTCAAGAAAATGCAAGCTCTTTTCGAAAAGTAAATAAACTAATTTTTAACATAATTTCAAATCTTTATAATTAAACAGAAAACTAATCAGTTTTGTTTTTGTGGGGGTTTAAAAGGTTAGAGCATGGTGTCTATAGCTTGTCGAGGATGAAAGAATCGGCGGCGAACAAATTCAAGAGTTTTCAGATACCGGTTGATTGGATGCTCGAAACCGGCATTACTAGCCAGGTTAGCAATACTAAACACGGTATTATCAACGGTTGCTCCCGAACAACTTCCATGGTTTACTAAACATAACAATTCTGGTTTTGCATAATGGTCTAGTTAGATTGATGATTTAGTGGTTTATGATCCCATTTTTTTAGCCAATTATTGGACTATGAGTATGGA